ATATCTTGTATATCAGTAATTTCTGGTTTATATCTAGTGCCCTTTTTTCATTTGTGACCTCTCAGATGTTGGCATTTAATTTAAATTTAAAAGAATAAAGCAGTAGATTAAATTTATTCAGTCATTATGCAATTGCCACAGGGAAATCTAAGAGGGAGTTGTGGGAAGCTCCCTGTTAACTGAATGTTTTCTGAATATACCAAGATTCCGGTGAATGACGATTATTGCTTAAGGTTTTTCTTTTTGAAGTAAAAATAATAAAACAGACAAGGCTTACAGAACATCAAACCAACCATGTTCAAAATCATATTCTAATCACATGCATTACATTCAATTTTAAATCGCGGCTTTTTCCGATCACGATCTTCACAGCTCGCACGTATAAAATACAAAAAAATACCTCAGACTTCTTCAAATATTGGTAGATCTCCGAAGCATATTCTGTGACACCAAAAATGTCGTTGCCAGTGTCGATGTCGTGTATTTCTGGCGTTGTTTCTTTCGTGCATTCAAAGTCCTCGTCATCGCTAGAATCTATAACCATGGGTGAATCCCCTGCAGTAAATGAAATAAATATAAAAAAAATTTAAACAAATATTTTTATTTAGAACGTATTAGATCTTAAGATTAGCTGAAAAGTCAAGGGATGACTCAAAAGAAGCTTTCTGCCAAAAAAATTATTTAAATGCAAAAGCAGTGCTCTAAAGAATGAGGAAAATTTGGTTCACAAAAGTGCAAAGCTTACCTTCAGTTCTTGCTCCGTTTGCAACGAACACATTTGTTAAAGCCGGGCGTGAAAGCGACGTTACGGCCGGATTTATTTCTGGGACTGAAGAGCTAGAGTGGAATGCCCTATTCTGAGAACTTGCAATAACAGGCTCTTGGTCTACGTGAATGCTAAAGCTTTGTTGTGCAGTCGTTGGTACAGCGAAGGCCGATGTCTTTTGTTGTGCACGACTGAAAGCATTTTCGTCGTTCTTCGCAGCACCGAAGGACAACGAAGGACCAGTAAAGCCAGCCTAAATGTATCCAAGCAGAAGAATCAATAAAGATAGGCTAAAATACTAGTATTGGAAAAGTACATGAAATTTAAAGGTCTAAAAGCTGTTGCATGAAATTGACCGCGTTCAACCGACCTGTTGTTTAGCAGCACGGAACGGCTGAATTCTCATTGCGTTGTTCGTTATTGTGCCCAAAGCTGCACGTTTCTGCCCTTGTTGAGTTGCTCTTGCTTGTCCATCTTCCATTTTTGCTTTCTTTAACACGCTGCTTTCTTGATTGTTCTCGAAGTTGTTAGTGATAGGAAACGGTTCCCTGATGGATAGCGACATTTCAACAAGGAGGCCGTTGACTTAAAAATTGAAAACGTATCGGAACGTCTGAACTGACAACTAAGAAAGTTAGAAAAGTAAAATACTCCAAAACGTAGCTACCAGCACCAAATTCGAGAGGCTCTGTGACAAATTATCCTAATTTTGCCCTTTTCCTGTCTGACATCGAGAAAAGTGACTCGCGAATGCGAACGTTTTCGTTCTCGCTTTTCAAGAATCCCGCTTGTAAAGGGTTAGCCAATCACAGCATAGAACCACGCATGCCGATATTTGCTACGTTGCGACCTACCGCTGACTCCCAAGGGGCTCGCTATTATTACCGGCGGGATTGAAATAAAAAGTTAAGTAGTAAAAGTGGGCGACGGAAACCAGTGACATATGAATGTCGCTATACGCTATTTTCAAAATTCAAGCACGAAAGAGTTGAAAAGTTTAAGATTTTGCCGTTGGTCAGTTTATCTCTTGCTCCCGAAGGGCCAATGTTTGACTCTCGTCAGTTCTTTTGGACGTGTTACATAACACGCGATATTTCGTCCGTCCTGAGATATTTTGGTTGATATGAAAGTTTTAATTTCAGTAACGGTCCAATTAGTGTTGAACTGCACCTCTAGAAATACCAAAAACCTGGCAGTTGAAAATTAAATCCCGATAAAAGTGAAACAATGAGAATAACGCACAAACAAGGTAAGTCGAAAGGGAGCTATTCACTTGATCCAAACGGTGAAATTCTAAAGAGTGTGAAAAATATCAAAGATCGCGGCAGTATTGCAATATCGTTCGATCTATCATGGAGTGATCATTTTCACGAGGTGGTCAACAAAGCCAACAAAGTCCTTGGGGTAATTAAGCGCGTGTTTGGGTCTAATGGCGTAAATAAATTCTCTTTACTATACAAATCTTTTGTAAGGCCGATACTAGAGTATGCGGTTCCAGTGTGGTGTCCCTTTTGGGTAAAAGACATTGTTTTGCTGGAAAAAGTCCAGAGAAGAGCGTCGAGACTGGCTCTTGGCCAAAAGAGAGGCGAAATGGACTACGAGGAACGTTGCTCCATTTTAAAGTGGTCACCTTTAATTAAAGAATCGAGGCTTTATTTTTCTCTGATCTAATGTTATAAATGTATATTTTCTCTCAGTAATCTCGAATTCCAAGACTTTTTCCAGTTAGCGTCAAATCGAACGAGAAGTAATCATAATTACAAGCTGAGGTTTCAAGCATCCAGTTGTAACTGTTAAAAATATTCATTTTTTGTGAGAATCGTAAAAAAATAGAACGATTTACCCGAGTGGGTTGTAGGGACGGGAAATCTTGCGTGTTTTAAGCGTTCTTTAGGTTCATTTTTTAATATCTCGTAGTAGAATTTTGATATTAGAATATTTTTAAGATTTTTCTTTTGGGAGTTTTTTACATAGGGCTAACCTTCTAAACTCCCTTTTTAAAGCATTCTTTGTACATTTATCTTTGTTTTCAAATGCTTTGAATAAACGTATGAAGGTAGGTAGGTAGTTATGTTTCGCCTTTAGCTCAAAACAGTCCAAACACAAACGGTGGTTCGCCCGGAATGCAAAAGGCCTTCACACCTGGGATATTGAGGAATAGAATCGAGATGTTTTTGGAAATATCGCCACGGCTTTTAACATGCGTAATTGTACAGTCGAACCTGATTTAGACTGCACCGTATTAAGCGCTCACCTGTGTTAATTTGTCAGTTGTCAAAGTCCCTAAATTCTTCTCTCTTAATTGCTGTACTTCACCTCGGTCGTGGTCACCCTTTGCTGATCAAGTCTCCACGGCCTGTTTGTCCCACCCATCGTGAACGGTCACTCATAGCAAAACCACTAAATTAAAACTAGGAATAGCTTTCAAGTATAATTAATCCAGGTTTATCTCCTGAAATCAGTGTTTCGGCGTTATACAAGATATTTCCTGTAATGTACGAGCTGCATTGACTGCCAGTCTAAAAAAGTGCACATTTTTTTTTTCTAACTGAAGTCTTCAAATTAACCTATGATGACATTGTAAAGTTCATAACGCTGTTAAGTTTATGTCGTAGTTAAGTTGACGAACCATCCTTCACTGGACGTCTTAACCAGCAAAGGTCGATTTCAAATGCTCGGCCCAGTTTTCCATGCTCTTCTCCATGCATACTTCAACCCACCCACCCCTTCCCCCAAATCATGCAAATATACAAACACACTGTAATTCAACAATTTACAATTCTTTATTATAGTATCACTCTTTTCCTAAATACGATCAAAGCTTATCATAATTCCTTTGTGGATCCTTAGTCGACCCTTCTCCTCTCCTCTTTTTCCTGTTATTTATCACCCGCTCCCTCGGTAAAATCTCCGTTCGCTCTTCCACTTTCTTCACTGATCAAACAAAAAAATGGAAGTAGTGATCTAAATTTTACAAAGAAATACTAAGCTCTCGTTCGCATCAAATACGTCTGAATTAAAGCCTGGCAAAAAAATTCTTAGAAGCTCTTAAACTATTATTTTGATTAAAAAAATTTGAACTCCATCAGGAAATCTTTCCTGACTTCTGGCAATTTAAAATTCCCACGACATAAATTGAAAAAATACCAAAATGAACTGCGGTACGGTTAAGCACATTTTTGGCGAAAGACTGCACGATGACGGATTTTTTCGCTGTTAAGCGACATAGAAATAAATAATTGCGTACCTAACGAAAAAAAAAACGTAAAATCTCTTTAAATATAAATTACAATCAACCATATATGATAATCTCTTCAATAGACTGAGTAATCTTTTGATATACAACTGCAAGATTAGTGTCACTCACTCGTGATTCTTTGATATATTACCATAATTCTACAAAATAACGATGTGGTGTAAAGATTCTTCTAAAGCCAAGTCATTCACGTAAAGGTCACTCGAAACGAATATTTTGTATCCTTTCAATCAGAAATTTAGGATGTCGCCAAAAGTAACATTGATTGCACCTTTGAAGATATGACTACGTTCCCTATTTTGAGCGCAATTAGCTTAAAATAGTAAAGACTTACAGCAATTCTAAAAATAATCAGTCCACATATAGGAAAACTGAATACCAAGTACCCTTGTTTTAACGGTTTTAAGGTTAATCACTGAGGACGGAATTTCACATGTTATGTAACGTGCAAAGGGTGACCTGTTCGCACAAGTTTAGCAGTACAAGTTTGGCTGTACAGCAGAATCTCGTTAATGCCGAACGAATTAAAACTCTAACTCCGCCTTAGCTCGTCACACACAAAGGGCCAGGTTACTAAGCACAATTGAAGACAATTTCAAAAGAATTGATAATTCTACAAAATCTCGACTGAAGTGGTATTAACCTTTAAAACTCCAATAATCTGACTGATAATTCTCCCCTCAAGCTGCTATAAATTTCCTCGTAAAATAAGTTTCGAGGATTTGGCTTTGCATCAAGATAAAAACTTCTACCTGATGCGTTCGAGTATTCCCATTACCTTCCCGCTGGACAGCGTATAGATATTATAGGGAGAAGTTACATGTTAATCACTTCTGGGAGTCAACGGGTTAATGTAGTTTTTTGGAGCATACTTCTCCTTTCACCCTTTACACCCTAAAACTCGTCTGCAATTTCTACGCACTGTTCTCCAGAAATTCAGTCGTATGCCACCAACAAGGAGAAATTGACTAACAGTCAAGAGCTTCTCGAGTGGATGGTTATTTTTCTTTCTTTTTTTTTTTTTCCATAACCTTAACGTTTGATTCAGTAGTAAAAATGTATAGAGAAATTAGATGCCAGTCACTTCTTAGAGGTTTGTGGGTTGACGTTAATGGAACGAGGTCATCATTCACAAGTGATAAGAGTCGAGTTCTTCAGCCTCCACACAGCTCTGATACCCAGCGCAATACTGTAACATTAACATGGCTAATGCTTGACTTCTTTCTTCTGATTTGGCCTGAAGAGCAAGATGTAAATAACCAAAGGATATCAAACAGTACTCGCGCGTTTGGGACAAAGAAATGGAAAATTTAGGTTGCTCAAACCAAAAGATTTGAAATTTTATTCACTTTGCGCGTGTATTTTCATTAGGCCCAATAACGACAGGTACGTTTGACACATGTACTAACACGATTCGGGAGTTTGGCGACGTCACATCGCTGATGTATTACATCTAATGGTGTGTTTTCAGACATAAGTTTCTCCAAATGAACTCACCAATAACGACTCTATAGCAACTTTCTGTTTCCTTTCCTTGATTTTACTCCTCTGGGCGTATAATTCTGTACGCGTTTCATTTTCTTCATCAATCTCTACTTGCAATCTGTTCATCTGAGGATTGAAGGAAAACCTGAGGTAAGATGGTCGGCGAATCACCTCAACTATACTGCAATCCTCTTTGTGCTCTTTAGCCTACAGTGCAGGCACCTTTTTGGGGTGAGTCAACGTTATAAGCTCGTCATCATTTATCCGAACGCCATGTTTGATTTGGAGTCAGAGTGGTCGGTAGGGGTAGGGGGCGGGGGTAATATATTCACTCTCCCACCCTCCCTCTCCTTAATTCTGACCGTCATTCACCCCCTTGGTACATATTTCTTTCTCTCCCCAGCCTTCCGCAGCCATTGAAATCAAAGATGGCGGCCATTTTTCGTTGAGAAAATACTGCACTGAGCACTTGCTCGCCAAAATTACGCCTGCAGAGCAGGCTATATGCTCTTTGACGCACAAGGCGACAACTGGAATGGAGAAAATTTTGGGCGAAAAGTGGGAAGAATAAAGAGTTTAAATAAACATCAAAAGTTATCTTACCATGTCTTCTAATTTGCTTTTGCGAGCCTCCAGAGGAAGATTAGTAAATAATTCCCTGCCAGCCTAAAAAGAAAATGCAAAGTCCACCATTTTAAGTCAAAACACATACCATGGATACCCAAATGTCCCTTCATAATTAAAACTTTTAGTTACTCAAATATTGTCCACGAAAACCTATTCGTCATTTATCATCCGTAAAATAACTATAAATTACTTGATGTTATGTGTGAAATACATCTCTAATGAAACTGACCTCCCTTACGCGCTGTGAAGCTCTCATGATTTATTATTATTATTATTATTTATTATTATTATTATTATTATTATCATCCGTAAAATAACTATAAATTACTTGATGTTATGTGTGAAATACATCTCTAATGAAACTGACCTCCCTTACGCGCTGTGAAGCTCTCATGATTTATTATTATTATTATTATCATCCGTAAAATAACTATAAATTACTTGATGTTATGTGTGAAATACATCTCTAATGAAACTGACCTCCCTTACGCGCTCTGAAGCTCTCATGATTTATTATTATTATTATTATTTATTATTATTATTATTATTATTATCATCCGTAAAATAACTATAAATTACTTGATGTTATGTGTGAAATACATCTCTAATGAAACTGACCTCCCTCACGCGCTCTGAAGCTCTCATGATTGCGGTCGCTTCCTCTTTCACATTTCTCTTATCGGAGACATCCTCGTCTGATTCAGCTGCACCTTCAGTCCGACCTGACTTCTACAGAGCAAATTCAATTCAAAATCAACCGAGCCAAAGTTAAGGAACATCTAAAAAGAAAGACAGCTTTACGAAAGCAGGTTAAGATACATCTGCTGAATATAAATGAAGAGATTGAACACAGTAATTTCATTGTTTTGAATAAGGGCGGTTTATGCACAGTTCGAGTTCCTCTCAACAAGCACTAACACTCCTCGAAAATTTGGGTAACGTTCACTGGACTACTTGGAAAATTTTGAGGCCACTCTCATAATACTTTAACCATGTGTATCTTTAGCCATATTGATGAAAATTTTTACCAAAAGGCCGATATTTCTAACATTATCTACATCAGGAGCCTCCAACCTTAACATTTCCATTCACTAGATCATCTCTCGCTTCTGACTCTGTTTCATCTTCGTCCGATGATCTCTCACTTGTGGTAGCAAACGGTTCATAATCCGATTCACTGGAAGCCTCTTCTACATCGGGTGCCGATGACTCTGCCATATTGTCTTTACTCTCTTCTTGTTTTCCATTCTTTTTGTCCGGCGCTGACTTCGATTGCTGTCTACAAAACCACCCGGACGTGGTTTGTTTTGTGCTTGTCAAGAAATGAACCACCAATGTATCAAAATAAACCGCAAACATATAAACTATGCACAGTTATGTTTCTTTCTACGGGACTGGTCTAGAAAGATTAACGCAGAAATTAGAAAGCACTAACGACACCAGCAATTGAACAGAGGCATTTTTTCCGCTCTGAAAGCCAAGCTCCGAATTATCACTTTCGTTCGTTGTAATTCGCGGTTGTTGCAGCTTTGGTTTTAGTGATACGTTACTCGATCGAAGAATGCTCTTTTTGAAATTAAACAGTCAATACATCTAATTGTATAAAAAATAAAACTTATTGCAATTGCACCGTCCGCTTGGCAAACAACTCCACTAACTCGTGTTCAAATTCATTAAAAAATGCGAGATTTAAGAATGAAACGAACAAATCTATTTTGCAGGAATATTCTTCTACTACTGACACTCACTTTACACAGTGTGTATAACCCATACAATTCCTCAGACACTTCTTGTGGCAGATCATAGCACAAGTTCTACACTGGAACGCAACTTTGGTCCATACCTAAAAGAAATACATCGTCAGTTATAGCATCCACTGCGCAGATGGTAAGGAAAGAAAAGACTCATCGGCTCGATAATGAAACATTTCCGAACAACGCTTCGATGACAGCGTTGACTTAGGAGAAGACCACATCAACGGTACAATCTGAGAAAACGCTCAGAAGAGTTTTTAGCAATTCAGTGAACATACGCAAACGGAATTTTCGGAAAAGAATCTTACACATTTCAAAGTTCATACCTTTTTGTTGCAATAACTACATCTTGTTGGAAAATAAAACTGGGTTAAGATAAACTGATGTGTAGGAGGCTCCAAACTGCAAGGCAGAAAATACGATACATTAAACAAGTGTTACAGAAAGAGAAAACAACAAAGTAAAAGCATACTCATCGATATCAAGAGAGGCCATTTTTATTAACTAAAACACAAAGTTAAGATTACTTCAGTTCTGGATGCGTACAAATTGTTCTTTAGGGTTTATTTTGTTTTCCTATCATCTATAGACTTCACAGTGGAGTCCCGACAAAAACCCAGAGACAAGGAAGAAATGAAACAAGCATCTGATCAAAATCAAATGACACATTTCTAAACAAGAATCAGCATTCACCCCATGCTCATTCCTTCGTTACAAGGGTTAAGAGGCAAACAAACGGGAGGAGAATGCAGTTATTTCTGATGTAGTTCGACACCCGACATTGAAATGGAAAGCCCCTATTTTCAGCATTTCAAACCCAAAGGGCAATGGTAAATGATCTGTGCGCTAGAGAAAGAACTCTAAACTTCTAACGACCTTCTGCGTCTCAAAAAGCATCTCTCTTTGAGCTCCCTATAAACACTGGCCCTACAACAATTTAGAATTTCCGATTTACCTTTCAAGGGTGTCTTTTTCAGGACTTTCATCCTGCAAAGAAAAACGCATGAACATGAATATGACAGTATATCATATCTTAACGCTCCAACCAATAAATTATAACACTCAAATTTAGCAAACGCGTCAAATGTTGTTTCGGTGCACATGCTACTTTTTTTTTAGGTAAATGGTTTGAACCCGGGGTAACACGTGAAAATGTAGTGTGATCGTCCGGGTGAGTGTTTTCGGTGGTAGTGACGGACATTTCGACAACCTGTGCGGAAGTCATCAGTCTTGACTCTGATGATGACTTCCGCACAGGTTGTCGAAACGTCAGTCACTACCATCCGCGACAACAGTCCTTCTCAGGACTACACTAACCCGGATGATCACACAACACTTTCACTAATTTTTTTTATTCATAAGGTTGCCAAGGCATCTTCTTATCTAGAACATAACTACTTGAAAGTAAACACAACAACCTTGTTCATACCTTGGGTGCAGACTCGTTCAGTGATTCCACTTTGTCAAGGATTGACTCATCACAATCCGTAAGAGATGGACTGTGATGGAAAATCAATGTGATGTCTCCACAGCACAGACTCTCTTTAAGACCGGGATGATTGCGAAGATATGGCTGACTGAAGCAGAAAGAATCAGCTGCAATGAGTTTTAGTATAGACGGGTGTTGACAAAGTAACGTTAAGTGAAGTGCAGTGTAAAACAAAAGTTATTGGTTTGAATTTACATTTATTTGTTTTGTCATTGGTCAAGAAAAATATTTCACCACCTCTGAATCAACCAGATGACAAACCGCCCGCGACTTGGTCACTTACGTTTTTCCGCGCTCTCTTAGCTTGAGCCCGCATTACTTCCCTTTAGACTTTCCTTCGTTTTAATTGGCCGTTGTCATTTCTTTGGTTTTGCAACACGCGATCGTGTAATGGAGCAATTTTCAATTGAGCATCGAAAGTGATCCTGGATTGCTTTAGTAACGCTTGTGATTGGTAGCGAAAAACTAGAGCCAAAATTTCTCCCAATCAGATCCAGAACTAAAACTAGTCCCACCTTGGTCACCCGCGTTTTCCCGCCTGTTTTTCGTTTGAGTTCTCATTGGTTAATAATGGTGTTAACCTTTGTTCTGATTGGTAACTGTGATTACTTTGGTTTTGGTTTTTCGACATAATCAGTTGACCATTACCATTTGTAACACATGATGAAATCCTCAGATTAGAAGATAGTTTCTTCCTTTGCTAAATATAAAATTCTCAGAGGCAGCACAAGGGTTTATTTGAAATTTAAAAAAGAAAATACTTGTTTCTTTAAAGAGTAAAGAGGTTCTTGAAATCAGTATGTCGCTATTCGACAACCAGACCGTTCTCCCTTTCGAAAAATTAACTCATAAATGCTGCAATCAAGTTTAATATTTACTTTGATATAATCCTGTCGGAGTGCGGGGAAACCAAGACGAAACACTCTTCGTGTCTTTTTGACGTGAAGGACAAGCATCGCAGTGCAATGTCCATCAAGGGAATGGTTACCTGCAACAAAATTGACGGCTATTTATAAGCGATTAGCATGTCGCCTAAACACACAAAAAAACGATTCCTTACGAGCGTCAACCAGGAAGAAAGCGCGCTACTCCTGATTTATAAGGTTACATAGCCTTGTGCGCAGAATTCCTTTTGTAAAAGGAAACGTATAAGAAAAAAATATTCTCGACTCACATGGCCAAGTATGATGTCTTTCTCGTTTTTCTCTTGTGATTTACTCCATATGCACACGTTAAGGTACTGAAGGTTACTGGTTGGAATATCAAACTTGAAAGTTTCATTCCACACTGGATCCTGACAAAAGAAGGTAACTTTATTAACGTGTTGTATTGACGCAAAAGAGAAACGAATAACACAGATTTCCCTTCCACAATTCTTAGCACCCACGTTTTCACCGAAACAGAATCGGTAACGAATGCCTTTAATCTTTAATCTTTTAATAGAAGTGCTCCTAAAACAGTAAGAACTATACGAGAAGGATTCGATTGGTTTGAAGGTAAACTCTAATACACGATAGAATTTCCAAACTTAGTCCATATTGTAAAATATGATCGTGACTATACAAACCCTCGACTAGTTTGCGGGTTAGCATAATTTTCTCAAATTTCCCGCCCCGCCGCCTGTTTTCAATGAAGCTGTGTAAACATAGATAAAGTTCCCTATTACCTAAGTGTTTGGCTTAACAACCTGGCATGTTGGTCTTGCGTCTTAAGAGCAAAAGCTAGAAAGTCGTCGACAACACTGTGCTTCGTCAATATTCTACGATACTCGGCAGCAATGAATGACGGAACCGCTTACCGCGCTTGCTGACACCAGCGTGGTTTTCCTGGTGTCTAGTCCGTCCATGACCGTCAGGGACACCTTTCTTGGGCGTTTTGGCGAAGCAGTGTCGGTGCCATTTGGTTGAGGAGTCTTGTCGAAGGACACCTTCTTATCGTTCACTTCAAGAGTTGTCTGGCTCGTGTACGTCCGCTGCGTGGATGCTGGCGATCCCTGCTTTGAGCCCCTTGTCAGTTGCGCCGATAATTTCTGATCTCTAAAACAAAAACAAGCGAAACTTTAAGTTCATACTTTTTGCAGACAGGATATACGTAAAGCACATTTTTATAGAGCTTATCCCGATCTCTACTCCCCTGAATGGGATGTCAGTCTCTCACAAGGTCCCCCTTCCCCTCCCCCCTTTATATTGCTTGCTGGAGAAAGGCACTGAGAGAATAAAATGTTTTGCCCAAGAACACAACAAAACGACCCAGCCACGTCAAGGTAAACATAGTTTAGAATACTTCGGTACGATAAAGCACTAGAACGACTCATGGAATTCCGAAAGAAAAAACCCGGCCTTGCCTTCCTTTCATTTTTTTCTCCGCCCTCGGCCTCGGTTCAGTGGTTCGTGACAGCATTTCCTTCATCGCAGACCTGGCGATTTCGTTGTCTTCACCTTCAAACAGTGGCACCACGATGTTGACAAATTCATCCTCGGAGTCGCTGTCATTGTAAAGTGCGACATTATTAAAGTTCACTACAGTTTTACCATCTTGTTTGTCCTCTGGATTTTCGCGATCGACTCGTTGCGAAATTCTTGTAGGCTGTCTTTGAACCGTAGCAGTGAATCTAGAGCACAAAAATGACAACGATTTAAAAAAAAAAAAAAAAATGATAAAATGTGGGTAATGACCACGCGGACCTCAAAGTTTTAAGAAGTTTGGTAGGCTGTGATGTTGGAACCGTGGCTGGGGTCCCTGGACAACACACTATTCTTTGGGGCGCGCTGATGTACTCAGCGAAAAAAGTTTCTAGCGGAAGTAGTTGGCAGATTTCACAGGAGTTGATTGACAACAAATATCGCCAGTTATGCAATAGATTCATGACACAAGCAGCACCGCTCAGGTTTTTAGTTCCGTGTATCAGCAGTGGCAGTAATGACGCCATTGTAGTTAAATGGAACAAGTAGATGGTCTGAAGTGAACTTGAGAAACGGCAAAAGAGAGCTTAAATGTGCCGAAACGTCAGAAATGTTCATGAAATTTTCCCGAAAGTTTAAATTTGCTAAAAAGAGACCAGATATAACATGAAGTTCAATTTCAAAAGCTGAATGCGATGAATCAACAAATCACAGGAGCCCTTAATCAAGCTTCACGGAGCCTACACAATATATTTTCAAATCTTCGAAAAATCATCTCGAGCTTAGTCATTGATAATTGTTTTGCACAAGATACCTGCTTTTATTCTTTATCATCTTGGCAGCTTGCTTGAGCGATTCTATCTTTTTCCCATCAACAGCCACCAGTATATCTTTGGCCATAACTCCTGCATTGTATGCAGGAGAGTCAGTTACAATTGTGTTTATCACGATGGTTTTTCCCAACTCATCTTCACTGATCTCTTTATTCAAGGTCAGCCCGAAGGATATGTCATTGTTTTCACGACTTATCTCAATCTGCGGGGAAAAACATGTCAATGTTAAACGAACTTGCAGTCGATATTTCACGTTTTTTGCCAGTAGTGAGTTCTAAGCTTCAAATTTGAATTAAGCAGCCTCTTTAGGTCAAAATATCGGGAATCAAACTAAAAAATAATAATAATAATAATTGGAGCTAAGTCTGAGAAATTTGGGCAAAGCTTACTCGAATCCAATCGGATTTAATACCGTTTCAATGTTTTTTTTTTTTCTTAGCAAAAACTCTCAAGTTCAGCGTTTCATATCTTCACGAGTTTTCGACAGTTACTAATTCGCTTAAGAATGATTTCGAAAACGCAAGGAGGCTGAGTTTCAGAGCTTGGATGAGTAGTCAGCCAAATTGGTCCACACTACAGGGTTAGTAAATTGCTTTCAATTCAACCCAAAATTCACAGGATTTCCAGGCGCAGAATGTGAAAACAGACCTATGTCTTCCCCACCTCAAATGTTGGCCACATTGCTCTTTTGTTCTCAACAAGTTGACTCCAGGGAAGCTGGTCCACAGACAAACTACAGTACTGAGATACTCCATTCTCTAGCTCAGGTAGACGGGTGCACCCCACCACTGTGACCTCTAAGCTACCCACAGTGACACTGCTGTTATGAACATACACCTCTTGGGTTTCGTCCTGAGGAATCACCTGTGGGAAAAAGGGGCTGTATCGGATTTTGTAGCTGGGAAGGGTGTGCTTCTTTTGTAAAGACTTGCGAAGATGGCTTATTATGAGAGATGTTAGTTGAGGGAAGTTTTTGCCTTCAAACTGGGACTCAGCTTCAAATTCAACTTCTGGTTCCTGGACAAAAAAACAAAAAAACAAACAAACAAACAAACAAACAAAAACATTTTTAAAGACATTAATAAATAAACAATGCCAATAAAAAGCCATATTATTCTCAAGATCTGGCAGCAAATTCTTCTTAGTAAGAGGACCATACATCCAGTTGTCTTGAGATCCTGGTCTCACATTCAAAACACTATTATAATACCAAAATAAAAAGAAACACTGACATTTCCACACACATAAGAGACGGCTTTGGTTGGCTGATGAACGAAAGCGAATCTCAGCCCCATAAATTGTTCTCAGCTGTAAAAAGCGTTACTTTACTTTTCACTCACACTTGGCTTATCAATCATGCATTGGGTTTCATTGGTAGTTACCAATTTAATTCACCAAAGTGGAGTTGAATAGTGGTGGATATTTCCTGGAATGCAAAGTTGTAAGGTAAATGTCCACCACTTTCAACATCACTGAGGTGAATAACTGTTTTAGTATATACCACACAGATACAAAAAACAAATTAGTTCAATTCTTTCAGTATGCCGATAAATGGTCAGTAATTGAACTCTTGACGTGCAATGTTGTCTCAATGGCTGGTCAGAAGTGGATAGCACTTGATATTCACTTCCGAAAAGCACTATTCATTGGTGTGGTATGTACTAATGCATTCTTCCCTGTCTGCTGTCATGTGACAGACTCCTTTAAAAGAAGGTTGTTCTGTTTCAGAGAGTCCAAAGGCTTATGTTGCCAATATTGTAACTGGAAGAATGTGATCCATTTTTTCTATTTATGCCTGATGGGCATGCTACCCTATCAGTGGACCCTTCCTTTAAAAACTATTAAGAAAACTGACTAAGGATTAAAAGTATTCTGCAAAATAATGAATCTCTCTGATTATGGTTTTCAATATTTTTATCATCCAGTACCTCATAGAAGGCAAAAGACCAGTGTGACAGGGGATGTCTGCTCAGCTGTAATCTAGCTCGACCTTTCAGAGAGACCAACTTGACAGCAACATACACAGACTTGTTGAAAACAAGATCAACCTGTATGGCCATGTGGCACCCTCCCGTATATTCAAGATCAAGGGCTATGTCTAATTCTTTGGCAACTTCCTTTGGATCTTTTGTTTCTATCTTCATAATGGTTGCACCTATTGACATGAATTAAATGATGTTGTTTATTGGACAGGAGGTCTGCATGGGAAAAAAACTGGGCCTGAGATCTTGGGGACAATCAAGACCCTTTCTGTTGGTTTGCTTTCCTTGAGAATGGTGTGGAAAAAAATTATGGCCAATTTCCTGAGAAATAAATTTGGTGTTTGCAAAATCATTTTCTTAAATACAAATTTGATGATGTGTGAAAGTTCAGTTGATCAGAAAGTGTTAAAGAGATTAACTCATTTGACCTGCAGATGAAATCTAAGTAAAGAAATTATTCTTGCAGGTGAGCTGCAATTAAAGCAATTGCAGAAAAGAAGCCTAAAAAAAAAAAAAATTAAGCTTGAGCATCATTTTCTTGAGGGAAAAGAAAAGAACTGAGATAAGCAAATTTATACACAGCTGTAAGCACTCACTATAACATACCCATGTTACCCATTAGCAGTGCTTTCAATAAGATTTGAAATGGGTGGCTACCTCGGGACAGCACCCGCCAGAGAGCAACTTAATTGCAACTTGAGCGTGGTGACTGCAACTTGAGCACGGTGAAATATACCTGACGACTCGCGACAGAATACCTGCTGGAGCTCCAGTGGGTGCCAGGTCTTATTGAAAGCACTGCAGACCACACTTTCTAGCAGTTGACCAACTTAATAACCTGAACCCTTTCTAATTCTCAAGAGTAACCAAGACATAACTTCTCCCAACAATAACAAATTCAATATAGTTTATAATTACACACACAAGTTTTAAACAAGTTTTATTATTATTAGTATTATTATTACAATATTACAAAAAGTATGCACTGCCCGCAGTTAGCAAAGGCTAGTCCAGGCAGGAAGTGTTTAATACGTATATTATACAATAAAAAGATTTACAGAGCAAGAGATTCAAAATTCTAGACAAATTACAACTACATTACTACATTTAAGATATGGCAAGAGAACAGAACAAGCTGGGGTCTTATAGTTGTGCTATTAAAGTAGACAAATCAATTTAATCGTCAGATTTTTCAAGTCTCTGGAGGAGAAATCATGAATTTTTACTCTTAAAATTGTATTTTGATAGCTGGCGCACTTCACAAGACAAGCTATTCCAGATTCTAACACCATTTCTTGAAAATGCCCTTTTTTTGTATATCTAATCTTGAACTTTTAACAAAATAGTCGCCTCTTGAAGATGATCTTGTCTTAAGGGGATGAATATTAGCTTGATAAGTGAATAAGTTAGATATGTTAGAAGGTGAAAAATTATTGAATATGTCATGCATCACCATGGCAACTGATATCAAGCAGCTAAGTGATGAGAATAAAGAAAAATATTAACTAGGCAATAATCATTTGATCCAATACCAAATTCTCAGAAAAAAAACTTTATAAGAGATGTATTGCAGACAGTAAAGAGAATTTTCAGCCAGGAGATGGGAGTGAAAGGTTTTAACAGGATGTTGGGAATACACTAAAAATATTTGTTAATCACGGGCAGGAGGCCAGTAATTAATTTAATTTAATTTACTCCATTTTCACTGCATTATTTGCCGTGGGGAAGGACTAGAAAGGAACATAAGAACCATTTGTGCTAGTCCACCCTCCCACCCATCTCACCCCAGGGGAGGACATCCATCGCACAGTAATCTTGTGTGTGTGGGAAATTTACGTCTCCTACCCCAACCTTGCAGGAGATGGGACCTCCAATTATTCGTCCCTATCTGAAAAGACTACAATATCTAACCATTTCTTGATGTTATAGAAAGGTAGCAAATTCTTCTCAATTATTTTAAGACCTTGAGTGCTGGTCCAGTCGGGGCTCGAACCCTCAACCTCCTGCACAACAGTCCAGCGCTCTATCCATTGAGCTAACCGTGTGGGTTATTACTGAGATTAGTACACCTAAAGGAAGTGCAGTCCACTGCTCTTATAGAATAAACCTCAATTTCCCATGGGTTTCAATGGTGCAATAAATGATAGGTTTTGGACCAATCAGGATTACTGTCCGTAGTAATCTCAGTTATTTCATAATAAATAAAATCAATATGACATATGTAACAGATATAACTAAAACAATCAAAAAATAAAATCACCAATCACAGAAACAAATACAATCATATAGAAAGGACTAAACGAAGACGGAACAGTGTTGACAAAAATAATAAACATCGGGAATATAAATTTCAATATTCTCTGCGGCAACCTCTTACAGACCAAGTGAGACAGTTTGTTTGCAGTTATATGAGGGTATATTTTTGGTTTTATGTCCTCAGTTTTCATTACCCACCTGTTTAACAGTGCATCAAAACTAAAAGGTGACATTTTCTTTAAATAAATCCTGGGGGTGATTAAGGTAAGGTAGTGTCTATTTAACAATTATTCCACGAGCGCGAGTTGGATATGAGACGATTGATAGCCAACGAGGCACGTAGCACCAAGTTGGCTATAATCATCTCATATCCAACAAGCGCGAGTGGAATAATTGTTTTACTAAAAAAATGCCCCCAAGATATTAGACACATCTTCTCAGCTTTATTTTATAAGAAGAAACTGGATGTTACAATGTGCAGATAACAGATTATGGTATATTGGCTCGTATACCATAATGGCTAAGCCAATGAAAAGTCTTGAATTGCATTATCCAATGATCCAGTTTTTAAAAAGAGAGATTGTAACATAACCAAAGTAAAGTGGGCATTCTGATTAGTCAATTCAGCATCCACCATTTGCCCATGGGTGTACATTGCTGACATGAGCAAATGCAAAGATTAGTTTTCCAGGCATGCTTGTTTTTTCTGGTCATGTAAGATTTGTTAAATAACAGAAAACTCATTTGCTACAATTTATCAATGTTATGTTATAAAAGAAATGGTAAATGC